TTGAAGCTTTGTTCAAAATTTTTAATATCTACCTTGCGTTTATTTTATATTAACAAAAGATTAATATTTTTTTTTCAACGCAAACTAGTAAAATTATAAAATTAATTAAGAACTATTTTCCTTAATTTGAGTTTTTCTCTTAAACTTGATTATATAAGTAATATATATTGTGCTTCTATCTCCAAAAAAGTGTACTCTTAATAATATGTAATTATACCTAGAAAACATGCTCCCCTTGCCCATGGAAAAGTACGCCACTGACAACAAATTTAAAGTACGTAGATTGGCAGCAATTTTTTTATAATTTGGATACTATAAAACGCTTCTTAAAACGAATGTTGTTTTGAAGATATATTCAACGTTCCAGACAAAATTTTCACCCTGTATAATTATGTGGCTGGCCACATTTGACAAATAAATGGTGGATACTATTACGTTACTTTCTTTTGTCTATCGACTTTAGGAAAAACTATTGCTTGATACTAAAACTCGACAATTTTTATAATTGCGATTGTGTAAGCCAACTATTTCTAAACAACCGGTAAACAAGGACGTCAATACAATACATTTCGTAAAATGAATAAGTTTAACGTATAAATTTGACGTTAATGATGTGTAGGCCAATACCTATGCTATTGGCGCAAATGTGTAGCTATGTCAAAAATTAAATTTGATATTAATCAAAAGTTTATGCCCGGTTACAATATTAAACTATTATTTTCGTATACGTTGGGGGCTTGGTAAAATTAATGAGTAATAAATTACGTTCTTATATTAACCTTATTACACCTCAAGGATTTCGAAGTAGGTAATTTTCACGTAAAAAGTTCGCATATATTATGTAATTTTCCAATTGGGAATAATAATGTAATTTCTTTTCGTGTGTATTGTTTATAGAAGGTCACTTACCGTATGTTACACTTAGAGGGCATCTTTAGGAATGGGAAAACTTCTGAAACTCATTTGATACATTCCAAATTGTTATAAACTATCGCTTTGGTTGGTGTACGTGGACATGTAATTCCACCTTTTCTCATTCTGTCACGCGTGGAACATACCGACAACGTAAAAAGTAGATTTTTTCACGTATACCTACTTAGTGTACAATAATTAGAGAAGGTACCTCTTTTGAAGTGAAGGACTAAGAGATGTCTATGCGTTTTCTTTTTTTAACCCTGTTCTATTTCTAAAACAACCTGGCGCCTGTACCTTGACATTTGTATGGAATGCACTTCAAACAATTTTGAATTTAGCAGCGCGTGCATTAAGAAAGCTATTTTTATCTGCGCGCAGAACTTTGGTGTTTATTTTAGTGCACTATTCATTGACAATATTGGTCCAACATCAAACGAGTGTAATAGCTAGATTAACCAATTCGTCGAAAGGTGAACGTAGTAAAAACTAAAAACGCAAAGATCAAGGAGTGTCAAGATAAGATGCTGCTAAGTTTAGCGTTGGCACTCTATGAATGTAGTAATCGACTGTTAGTAGTCATAGAGTAAATGTTTATGCTGTAGTCAGAGACTTACTATAACTAGACTGCGCTTAACGTATCTAAGGTGTTGTCGACACAGTATGCCACACACAATGCACTGCGGGGCAAAATCGCTGAGATGATTTATGCAATATAATGAAATAAGCTGTTATTTTAGATGTTCCGTTCATTAATCATTCTCGTGATTAGCTCGAATTAGTGAACAGATAAATTTCTGTTGAGAATAAACCAATAAACTTAGGTTAACTTGTGCGTATCAACATTTACTCTGTCGATAAATTTTTAAATAATATGCTGATTTTCCACGAATAAAAGTTTAAAGGGAGGATTGTTGTACGGATCAAACGATGCATTAAAAATTTGCCAAATTGCTGAAAATGTGTTCAGGTTATTCATTCAATCCATACCACACCGCGTTGTAAACAAAATGGTTATCAGCAGTCTTAGAAAAATAAATAACAGTTACAGCCCATTTGGGTTTTTGGATAGGCATTATATTGAATCAAAATCCGCTAAATAATCATATCTTACTACTTACATCTTTAGTTTTAAGAGTATATTTTCCTATACGTGTTCACCACCAAAATACACATATAAATCAAATTAGGACTAGAGTAAGGCAGTTATATACCAATTTAGTTCAAATAAAATACCAACAAATTCGATTAAAATAGTTAACAGCTATATGTTATCTTTTTTTGCTACTAAAATTTAGAATAAACATGGCTAAAGCAAGCTGCAGGACGTGCGTCTGCCCCGCGATGAACAGTTGGTTGCCTATCGTATCTTGACAACAGGCGTTTATAGTAAAATCTACGTTACGCGCGGTCTAGTTATAACAAGTCTCTGGCTGTAGTAGATATACACGAATTAAGGCATTGTAGCATTGCTACCTGTTATGCCTATGTAATGCAGTAAGACTCGAAAATAATGACAAAAACACACACATTAAATGCAATTTATTTTTAAGTTTTCAGGAAAAACAATTATATACAGGGTGATTCCTATAGTATCTGCCACCGTTTGGGAGCGTGTAGGTGGTGCGTAGGGGAGTATTTTGATATAGGACACTTGGGGTCGGAAATCTAAAATAAGGGTGCCAAAGCCAAATTTACCTTCTGGAATTTCGCGCCTGTAGGTAGGCAACCCAACCGGCCGGCGGTGCACACGGAGCGATCTCAGGCGGCGATGTGTGGTTGACACTTGATCAGAATTTTGTTTAAACCCACGAAATCCCGTCTGCAACGACGCGTATCAAGTGAATAAACACTATGGCAATAGTATAATAATAGTTGGCTACTCGGTTGGCTAGATGTAGGAAGTGCATTGAGAACAATGGTGGCCACGTTGAACACTTGTAAACGTTATTGCTTTTGACTGTCGTTTTCCCTCCTTCCCTCCCATGTCGCTTCCTCGCGCTAACTCGCTCTGCATCGCTCGGCGCGAAACGTCGGTCGGTTGGGTTGCCTACATACAGGCGTGAAATTCCAGAAGATAAATTTGGTTCTGGCGCCCTTATTTTAGATTTCCGACCCCAAGTGTCCTATATCAAATACTCCCCTAGGCACCCCCTATACGCTCCCAAACGGTGGCAGGTACTATAGGAATCACCCTGTATGGTATGAGATTGGACACGCACTTGAAACTTGAAAGATATCCATACTATCCACGGATTATATTCGCAGATTTTACCAAATTTATTTTGTTGCAGATAGTCAGACGTTATAAAAAGAAAGCAGATGGACCTACGAAAATCCATAGGCGATGTGTTAAATTTAAAATAAACGTGTAAACAAATATAGCAAACGAACTCCTGGGTATGGCTATAGCATGCGCAAAAACAAATTTTGAAATTGGCGCTATGTTTGCTTTTATGCCAAGTGCATATGTGTCAAATTTCATTTAAATACTTTCATTTAAAAAAGTGGCAATTCGGTTTATAAATGGCCGAGATGCGAAAAGGGCACTCTGACTAAAACTAAGTTTCAGATTTTAAATTCAGACATTATGTGACAGCACAGCGACTATAGTTTCGACCCTGAGGTCATTATCAAGCTTCAGTTTGAAGGAACATATAAAAGTAGTTGAAAATTACATATTAATTAGTAACATTTGGTTGATAATATGGGGAAAAATTACTTATTCGAACATGGAAACAATTACAATTACAATATTAACAAATTTAGGGCTTTTTTGCCCTCACATATTATAAACAATTGTTAAATTAAAATTGAACGAGATGGACGTAGCTGACAAGCAATACGCTATTATATTCGTTATTGCTGGCAGGCCGGCTGTCCGCGTTAGATCTCCACAACTACAATAGCTAGAGACTTCAAATTTTCACTAAAAGCTTTCTGTTATAGTGTAGATGTGCAGGCACTACTCTATTTTGAGTTAGATTACTTGTGAAATCGATAATTGAAGAAAATAATTTCGATATGGGTTTCGGAGGTGCTATAATTAATTTTACCGTTAGATAGCGCTACCAGTATAAAAACTTATTATTTACTTTGTGATTTGTTTTACAAAATGAAGACGTACCGTCAATTGAAATTAAATTAATTAAAAATTAATTATTTAACGCAGCCAAAATTACTCGTGAGATCCATCATTTCAAACTTCGCTAATAAAATACTGACCTGCATTACCAAAAATGCGCTTTAATCATGCATATGCTGATTTACAACTTGTTTTTACTTTAACAGACTTCAATGTAATTTGGACGGTATACCTTAAACGATTAAAAATTCTAATCAATTTTTTATTCATTCATTATTAAGAATTGCTTTGTTTTGGGTTCCTTCTATTGTTTTGTGCATCTTTTTCTTAACACAACACTCAACGCATTTTCCCTCTGCGATCTTGACGCACTTTCCGCCAAGCATGCGAAAATTGTTTAACGATCTTTGAAAAAGTGCCCAAAGCCCCAAATCGTGAAATTCGCATTGCTGTTGTTGCATCCTTTTCGTGTGAATAAGGTCTTTCGAATACCATAATAAAAATTTTAGGTTGCTTTTTGGAAAAAAAAAGTTCGATGCCGCTCCAAAATTTTATAGATTTACAGGTCCTCGTGAACTATTAGCCCCGGTTCCTACCTCCCGAGTGACTCTTTTTAGGATTACGCTTTCCGTCCCTATTATGTTTAGCCGCGGGAGCGACTGTGAGCCGAAGCCAGATCGTAGATCTGGTCTACTTGGACCTGATATCCTGATTTTGGTCCACTAACTTCTGGCGGGCATTCCGCATGACAACTACTGCTTTAGACTCCATTGGAATCACCTTCGACTGTAGAGGCTGCTCTGTCAGGAATGACTCTATGATCTCATTGTGCTATGCCGCCCCGTTATGGTCGCTTGGTTGTATGGTGTAGTCTGTATTCCCCGGTGCCGGAACCTCCTCCGGACTTGTTCAGGTGATGGGCGTGTCCGTGTGGCTTCTGAGTCAGTCCACCAGGCCCTGGCCTACTCCGTATGCGCTCTTCTCCTCCTCAGGGATGCAAGCAGTCCCTGCTTTAATACTACGTATGAAGGATTGGACTACTTAAGGGATTGTTCACCTGCGATAAATCACTATTCGCCATAATCAAAAAGATTAGATGGTAAAAGTAATGACCAACGTCCTTTGCCACAGAAAGGGTGTTTTGTTGTCCGTTCTTTTGACATGGCACACCATTGTTGTTTTGACTTGAGCAAAACTGAATGCTGCTTATAAAGCAGAAAAAATTCAATCAAAAGTAACGGTATCGGTTACTGACCTCATATTGTGAAATTGATGACAAATTTCTTAAGAAAAATGCAATGGGGGGTTCCTTCCAATCCATTACAGTTCGGATTTATCACCCTACAGTTTCCTTCCGTTTGGACCATACATCAAGACGATGACATTGTGCAGTTTATAAGTGAGTGGACCACATCAACGATGATAAAGGTGCGATATGCATAAAGAGTCGAGAAGTAAGTAACGATGCCTACAGCAATTATACAAAAAGGTGCAGCAATTCCAATTCGTATTATCCCTCGAAACGCTGACTGTGAATCTTAAGTTTAAGGCAAAAAATTCTATTGGATTAGCAAAAATCTCGATATTACCATCGGCAGAAAAGAAGTGAAAAATAAATGTCTTGTGATAGTTTCAATGGAACGTTGTTTTTATCTATCTCATTCTATAGACAAGCATCAATTTAAAGAATCACATGGTCCTTTTAAACTTCGTATTTTATTTTCGTCTTCAACAGAATGAGTACAAAACGTGTACTGTATCGTAAATTTCGTTATTGATCCTTTAAATTTGTATTCTGTCTAAATTCTTTCATTCAATATCTATAAATATTTGTCCTTTGACTTTAAGCCACATAATGTGAGCTAAAATTAAGTTATAAATTCCACATGTTTCCGATAAAGAAATCCATTACCACTTTATACGAGCGTCACGTCTACGTCAGTTTTCTTCTAAGCGCCTAACTGTAATTTGTAATTGTATCAATAATTCATGGAATAATTTCATCACGTTCTTACATTGTGTGCGATGAGTAGAATTTAAATGCTTTATTAATAGTCTCATCAATCAGGTCGCTGATTGAGTTGAACCGTGAAGGGAGGCTGCTGGAAATAATAAAACACGTATTAAAAATTTTCCAAAAGTTCAATGATTTGTGATAACAGGCTATTGCCAGGAACACTCACGCTACCAAATGTTCTAGATTATCCTCAAGTCAGTCAACTAGTTAAGTTTATAAAATCAAGTCATAAACAATGATAATTTTGACATGCTATCAGTTGTTTACTGAAAATTTCGTAGGTAGTAATCATAATATAGACGTCCCCCACCTCGTAGTTCTCGGGATGTTATTAATTCGACAAAAGGTTTATTCAGTAAAATTCAGCCTTTGCCTTGTAGCAGATATGTATCATCAGATGACCGAAAACCGTCTTCTTCTACGTGACAAGATACAAAATTATTTACAGCTAAAAATAATGGCATGGGTTACTATAATAACCCTTTGATATTTGTTATTATAATTTTGTTCTGATGATTTAAACAAGGTGACTTTGTTTATATTTTTGCCATTTTGCATTAATGGACTTGTTGCTGTAACAAACTTCTCGACTAACACTTCTCGTATAATGCCTCAAAACGCGAAATACTCCTCACCGATTGGTCCTAATGATAACCTTGACAACGAACTGATTTCCAACCCAAGCAGCATTTGGACGTCCAACCAACGTTGTACAACGTTGGGGGCGCTACCTGACGTCGGTGCCCGACTTTGGTACGACGTCGTGCCGACCCACATATGCACCAATTTGGTGAATAAAATTTGGGTTGGAACGACGTTGTGATCCGACTTAGGCGTTGGTACTGCTGACCTAATCTGCACTAAAGCTTACGTCGCTGTAAGGTAATTTTACTGTCCCAAATTGGAGTTGACGTCGGATTAGGGTAATTTTATCCCACAGAAAACGACTCCAGTCGTTTCAACCTTCACCACATTTACGTCGGCGAAGTTCCGTTGACCTGAATCTGGTCGCATTAGGGCAATTTAGTTGGACAAAACCAACTATGGCATTGCAGGCAAGATTTATCAACCTTCATTTTGTGAACGCCATGATTATACCTACTAAAAATCTTTATGACTTGAAATATGAAATACAATAATTTAAAACTCCGCGTGACTTGAAAATTGAAACGAAAGAAATTTTATTGATGAATGTTTCCATGATAGTTCGAAAAACATAGTTACCCCTGAAAAGTAATTAAGTCTATTAAAAGTTATTAATTTATTTTTCATAATTTTAAATTTTTTAAAAAACAGTTATTCTCCAAAAATATGCTTGCAAAAACGTTGCCCAATGCCCATGTATTTGTATGAATAAATAAATCGTTTTATTTACATTTGGCGTTACAGAAATCGTATATATTAATATAGCATTATTTTGATGATATCATGGCCGCCCGGCGCCCATTTAATGTAGGAAATATGGTGAAGTCCTAGGCGAAGTCGGCATTTATTAGCTAATCCAACTTAAGACTGAATTAGTTGGTTGCCGACGTAGAACCAACGTCCCCCGATTTACCAAAACTCTACCAGACTAATTTAGTCGGACACCGACGTCACCCCGACGACGGTAACTAACCAAGACTGAATTGGTTGGTTGCCGACGTAGAACCTACGTCTCCCGATGTACCAAAACTGTACCAAAACTAATTTAGTCGGATGCCGACGTCAAACCGACGACGGTACCTGACCGAAACATATCTAGGCCTACTTTAGAGGTCGAACCGACGTTAGTCCGTCTACACATCATAACCTTTACCTCTAAATCAATACCCAACAAGCAATTGTAACTATTCCGACGGCGACGTCACGATTGGTAAGAATTAATTTAATCGGTAGCCGTAAAAATGTTACTTGAGAATGACAGCCTGCCCCCCCCCCCCCTGAACACTTTAGGAGCCTAATACTTTTTAATTTGTACATTAGAGAGATTTTTTATCCTTTTGAGTATGCTATCCTTTTTGTTCTATTCCAAATCCAGTTTTCACTTGTTCCGTTATTCTTCAAACATTTTTTAACTATGATTTGTCTTACATTTACGTTTCTATTACGTTTTCTATTTTCCTTTGATTTCATTGTAGTGGGCGAGTTTTTTTTCTTCAAATATTAAGCATAGGTATATCAGAAAGTAGGGGAAATAGGGAGACTATTAAATACGGAAATAATTGCATTCTTTCGGTGGCCTATAGGACAATTCGCGACCATCCGCGTAATTCGCACCCTAAAATTCACGTCCGGCTAATTCGGTTCCGGATGATTTACACTGCAAAAATTGAGCTTTCATCGATTGCTCTAAGCGAGCTAATTAACAGTAAAACGAAAATTCGGCGGTGATTATTCGGCGGAAAAGCTGCGTTGAAATCAGGAGAAATTAAGAAGAGCGGGTTCCAGGAGTTGATTAAGTCTCGGCGATACGCTCAATCGAAAACGCGGAAAGAAGAGAATTTTTTAACGTGGTGACCGAAAAAACGCAGGAGGAAAAAGTTAATTACAAAAATTACCGCGAAAAATATGTGTCGCACCTGCCAAATTACGAACTCTTACGCAAATCGGAGAAGACACCCCATTTGCGTCTAGTTTTTCCGTTCATTTTAGGAGAGTGATTTTCTGTTGTTATAAATAACAGAAAACGGTGGTATTACGTGCACAGATAAATAAACTAAAATTTCCTGCCGTAATAATTGGACTTCTTCAAATATAAAACTAAGTATTGTTCAACCGCCATAGTACAAATTTCCTTGCAAATAATATCCGATTTGTTTGCATTAATGTTGATTTAGGGTAAAAATTTGTATACAAGTCTGACCAAGAGAAAATCACAGCTATGGTGAGAAACAACCACTGTCTTTGTGTTGACGGTTCTAAAAACTGTCGCGATGGAGCATAAGAGAGGTACTATCCGCTATAATACCTTCGCATTTATAAAACAGCGTGAACGAGTGGTTTGCGGTGAGTGAAAATCTGGTGGGAGAGCCGCATTCTTATTCACACCATAGAAGACAATCTAAGCAGGTCGACTACTGCATTTTTTCGACCGCGTATTGAATTCGTAGCGAACATTTTTAAATTGTGTAGCACTAATTTGTAGTTTTTCATCAAATTTCAACTGAAAACTGTGCCACAAATTCAACAAAATTTATTTCTGGGCCCATTTTAAATTCGTTACGAGTTACCACGAAAGCGTTGGGGTCTAAGGTACAAAATATTTCTTTGCGTTATTTTTTTGGAGTGGCTAGTTACGTTGTAAAACCGGTTTATTAATCAAAGTTGTGCACCTAATTTGTTTATACAAGGTGTTGTTTTATCGCCGCTTTGGCGATAACGCATAAGAATTCAAACACGAAAAAAAAGAATAATTTAATAATTCACATATAAGACCAACTGATACACCCTGGCAGTTACAAGCTAACAATATATAATTCTATGTATAAATACAATTGTACAGTATACAGTGCGCATGGCTTCGTAAAATCTCTTTCTCTCTGCCGAAAACTGCCTTTTACCCGAAGCAGCGGTTATAAACGCAATTTTCCCCAAGGTCCCACTGTATTATCTAAACCAGTCCACGAATGCGACAAACCAACTTAGAACATACGAGGGGCATACAAAAATGTACACAGAACAAACGTGATACGTTACAGTGTTAATAACATTACAAATAAAACGGCAACCGGTGAAAAGGTTAAAGACAATTAATTCGCACTTCTGTGGGCTGCGAAATCCCTTAGTTATAAGGGTAATTTTTTGAACATTTCTATACCGCGGAACATTGGTAACTATTCGAATGAGTAAACCCAATTCGAACTCATAAATTGTAAGAAACCTGAAGCACGGGTTTATTCCGGATTGAAATTCGGCAACCATCTTTCGAGATTCACTTTGAACAAGTATTCAAATTTTTTCTTGGCGATACAAAATTCAGATTGTGTTGTAAAAAAGGCGTTCCAACCCGATACTACCTTTCCAAAGGAGAAAATCAGTTTTTAATGGGAGAATATTTCAACTCATCAATAAATTTGATTAATGACATTTTTTTATTGTATCAAAATAGGATTCGACCGCTTCGTATAAAAAAATGTGCATTAAAGTAATTTTAACGTTCCTGAAGATGTCGAATTACGGCTATTTATCCCGTGCATGACCCAATTTGTTGATTCTTTTATAAACGTGAACCAAAACCAAAGATATTGGTAAAGTTTTTCTCATTAATTGTGAAATTGAATTTTAAGTTCAGTATTCTTTTGTGTGGGTTAAATTTTATTTAGCACCAAGAGGCGTGTAAATTTATTCATCAAACATACTGCATCTCTAATATTAATTTTTCTTTAATAATAAATATTTTTGTGAACCTTTCTTGCGCGTATTTATTACTAAAACCTAGTTACTTTTAGTTCAATGCTTATAATATAAGGAAACAGATATCAAAATGCGGTTGTCACTAGTATTTTCACTTTTTCATCTTATTTGATATCATATAATAATTATATCGTTTCACTTGAAATTTTCAAGAAAACTTTTTTAGTTTTGGCACTAGGATGACTGTTAGTTTGAGGAGAGTGCAAAGCTTAAATACTTGTTCCCTAATCTAATTTAAAAAGGAATTCTACCTACAGGAACAGTTGCTCAACTAAATGTCCCATGACATTACCACTAGCTTTCATAATTTACTCGTAGGTACCAAATTAAGTGAAGATATTTTATAGGAGTCAGTAGGTAATTAATTAACTTAAAAAGACTGTGCGTGATAAACATGCTTAGAATTTGGCGAATATCATCTATTCTTGAAAATTCACAGAGAATTGAAGCGAAATAAAACAGCAGGTGAGGTCTTTCCATCATTATCAAATTTATTCTCCGCTTCACTCCTATTATTATATTTAGCAATTTCCTAAAGCGCGTTTCCTTGTCAACAGAAGTAAAGCGAAACTTTTAGCGAGGAAGGGTGCTCTCGTCGTATTTCTTACTTCATGACGGATAGTTCGATTGAAAGATGATCTACTTAATCACTGTTAGGCACACTGAATAAAGCTTCAAAAGCTCGTCGATCCATTCATTTGCGTTAAGACTTCGACTATTTTTATTTCACTATCAATTCCGACAATTTATTCGTAAACTCATCATTTTTTTTCCTCTCTCGTCAATGCCCTTATTACTATATTCCTACGCACCAATTTGTTGGTTGACGCACATAGATACGTCAGTAAATAAT